GATGAGGGTGATGGTGGTGGTGATGATGGTGGTGGTGTGTGGTGGTGTGTGGTGGTGGTGGTGCTGCTGCTGTTGTTGTCGTTGTTGTTGTCGTTGTCGTTGTCGTTGTCGTTGTCGTTGTCGTTGTTGTTGTTGTTGTTGTTGTTGTTGTTGTTGTTGTTGTTGTTGTTGTTGTCGTTGTCGTTGTCGTTGTCGTTGTCGTTGTCGTTGTCGTTGTCGTTGTTGTTGTTGTTGTGTTGTTGTTGTTGTGTTGTTGTTGTTGTTGTTGTTGTTGTTGTTGTTGTTGCTGGACTGGCGCCCTACTCTCTTCTGAGTTGGCGCCGCTCCCAGCAAGGACAACGCTCCCGCTCGAGGCGTCCTCTTTTTTTCTTCAGGACGGTGCTCTTGCTCGCCGCCGAAAGCTGCCTTCCCAATAAAACCAGCGTTACCGCTCGAGACATCCTCCTTTTTTACCTTGGACTGGCGCGCTATTCTTTCTCTCATCGGCGCCGCCCCCAGCAACAACAACGCTCCCGCTCGAGACTTACTCCTTTTTTACTCAAGGCGGTGCTCCTCCTCGCCGCCGAAAGCCGCCGTCCCGAAAACACCAGCGTTTCCGCCCGAGACTTTCTCCAGTTTTACGCTGGACTGGCGCCCTACTCTCTTTTGAATTGGTGCCGCTCCCAGCAAGAACAACCCTCCCGCTGGAGGCTTCTTCTTTTTTTCCTCAGGACGGTGCTCTTCCTCGCCGCCGACAGCCCCCGTCCCGACAAAACCACGGCTCATGCTCGAGACTTCCCCCCTTCGTACTCAAGGCGGTGTTCCTCCTCGTCGCCGACAACCGCCGTCCCAACAGAACCAGCGTTCCCGCTCGAGACTTCGTTTCGTTTTACGCTGGACTACCGCCCTACTCTCTTCAGCATTTGCGCCGCTCCCAGCAGCACCAGCGGCCCTGCTCGAGACTTCTTCCAAGTCTATTCGGCGCCAGGTCCTTGCCTCGCCGCCTGCAGCCCCCACCTCCACCAAGGCAATCCTGTCGCTCGATACTTCCTTGTGCTTTTACGCCTTGGCTGGGTCTCCACTGGCGGTCTCGCATCGGCGCAGCAGGGCGCGGGCGTACGTTTTCGAGGCGGGATATGTTCAAACTCTTCGGAGGAGGTGTGTGCAAGACCTCATTGGATGGGAGATCGGGGAATGGGAATAACGGACCCCGCTATAGAACAATAATCCCCCATGCTGGAGATGGTTATCATGATGGTCGCATGCTTCGTGTGGAAGCATATCGCGTGAGGGTAAACTGATTGTTGTTGTTCTTGTTGTTGTATTGTTGTTGTTATTGTTGAGCTCTCACTCCTGAAGAATAATTACTGTTGATCCCCCCTCACCGTTGTTTTTCTCAATCAAAGTGTGCCCCTCGACGCTCGCTCCCTGTCTTTTGACAGGGAAAGTCTTGGTGCTCAAACTGTCCCCCTGGCCCCCCAGATTCCAACAACAACGGCTCCCGCCTGAGACTTCCTTCAAATTTACTCAGGACCCCGCTCCGGAGACTTCCTCACAATTTACTCAGGATCGGTGCTCCCGCCTGTGACTTCCTCGCAGTTTAGTCAGGACCCCCGCTCTCATCTGAGACTTCCTCCCAATTTACTCAGGAACGGCGCTCCCGCTTGAGACTTCCTCGCAATTGAATCAAGACTTCCTCGCAATTTAATCAAGACCCCCGCTCCCGCCAGAGAACCCTTCACGTTTTACTCAGGAATTGCGCTCTTGCTTGTGACTTCCATGCGATTTATTCAGGAATCACGCTGCGTCAAGGACGCCGTTACAATTTACTTAGTAGTCGCGCTCTCGCCATACTCAGGCATCCCGCTTGAATGTCCCACCCGCCCGACCTGCCCGTCAGGGGATCGCCCACCCGTCGTGGGCTCCCGCCCTTCAGGAACGGCGCTTTCGCCTAGGACTTCCTCGAACGTTCACGCTCTTACCTTCCTGCTCCTCCTCCCTCCTCCCTCGTCTCCTCCCTTTTCTCTCCCTCCTCTCTTCCCTCATCCTTATGCCTCTCTGTCCTATCCCCTCTCCCTCCTCTCCCTCCTCCCTTCTCCCTCCCCTCTCCTGCCTCCTCCCTCCCTCTTTCTTTCTCTCTCTCTCTCTCTCGCTCTCCCCCCTCTCTTTCTTTCTCTCTTTCTCTACCTCTCTTATAATTTTTTTTTGTTCTCTCTCTCTCTCTGCCTCTAAGCAACCTCCCCTCTCTTCGCTCCTTCTCTCCTGGCGTTTTCCCTCTTCCTTCGTCCCTCCCCCCTCCTTTCTCCCACTCTCCCTCGTTCTCCCTCCCTTCATTTTTTCGCAGGGCCCACACCAATTCCAATGGCGGGCACATGTACGCCCACGAAGGATTGTCCGCCCGTTCAGGTTTGCCCGCCTGTCTAAGCCCGCCGCCCCCCGCAAAGAAGCAGCATCTCCCCAAAGAGGATGTGATCGAAGACAAAGAGGGCGGGTATCGAAGGTGCGGAGAACTCGTTTTGAATGACACGCGGGCAAGTAAGAGCGAACAGTCTCATAATGATTGTTGCTGTTGGCGATGGTGTTGACGTTGATGCTGTTGTTGGTGGTGATGATGACGATCATGGTGATGGTGATGGTGACCGTGATGGTGAAACGTGGGTGGTGCTGGTGACGGTGATGATGCGGCTGATGATGCTGATGAAGGTGATGATGATGCTGCTGATGATGCTGATGATGATGATGAGAAGGAGTAGGAGGCGGAAGATGCGGAAGAGGAGGTGGGCAGGACGGTGGAGTAGGAGGAGGAGGTGGAGTAGGAGGAGGAGGAGGAGGAGGAGGAGGAGGAGGAGGAGGAGGAGGAGTGTGGCGGTCGAAGAGGGGTAGGAGGATCGAGGAGTGAGAAGGAGGAGGTGGAGCAGGAGGAAGAGCGAGGGGAAGGAGGAACAGGGGGGTGAAGAGGAAAGCAGCAGTGAGGTCGAGGAAAAGGACGGAGAGGGAGGATGATCTTGTTGAGGATTTTGGCGGTGTCCAGCATAGTTCGGGCTGAGAGGAGATGGCCGGCAGGAGGTGGTGGAGGAGGAGCCATGAGCAGGATGATGATGATGATGATGATGATGATGATGATGATGATGATGATGATGATGATGATGATGATGATGATGGTGGTGTTGGTGGTGATGATGATGACGATCATGGTGATGATGAGGATAATGATGATACTGCTGATGATGGTGGTGATGATAATGATGGTGAGTGTGGTGATCATGATTATTATGGTGATGGTGATGGGGATGGTGATACTGTTGCTGCTGATGATGATGCGGATGCTGATGATGCTGCTGCTGATGATGATGGTGATGGTGGTGGTGATGGTGCTGCTCATGCTGATGATGGTCATGATGATGCTGCTGCTGATGATGATGATGGTGAGGATGATGATGATGATGATGATGATGATGATGATGATGACGATGACGATGATGACGATGATGACGATGATGATGATGATGATGATGACGATGATGATGATGATGATGATGATGATGATGATGATGATGATGATGATGATGATCATGATGATGCTGACGATGACGAAGAAACTGACGACGATGCTGATGCTGATGCTGCTGCTGCTGATGCTGCTGATGAAGAGGTTTCCGGAAGAGGTCTCCAGAAGGCCCTGGAGGTCTCTGGAGGTTTCCCGCGGGCCTCTTGAGGCCTACCCTTCAGAGGCCTGGATGGACAGAAGGCGCTTAGAATCTCTAGCACTCGACCCTCCGACTCCAGGCAGTCGGGCGACCGCCCCCACCCCCACCTCCTCTCCTGCAATCTTTCAAGCAGGTTGTCTGTCATCCGCTCTTGCATGTCCGCTGGAGGCCACGGCCTCGCCCGCAGGGCCGAGGCTCGACCATGGCCCCCCCGGGCCTCCAGCGCCACCCCACTTCTCCACGGCGCGAACCTCCCCAGACGCCTCGGCCCCCCATCCCTTCACACTACCTGTCCTTGTGTAACCACGCAGGGGCTCTAGGACTCTGCTGCTCGGTTGCCACCATGCTATTCTCTGCCTCGCGCTGTGGCGCAGCTCCGCTGTGGTGATACACAGCGCTTGACGACGAGGCGGTCGGGTGTTCTGCGTGAGCGAGTCAGAGGCCTCGGCCCCCCTCTCCCCCAGCTGGGCCAGCGTTTCTTGGGCTTTCGGTTACACGTCCCCGATTTTAGGCCACGTGTGCCCTCGATTGTCGGCAACACGTCCGAAACGGCTGCTTCTGGCCGCGGCGTTTCATTGTGTCCATCGAGTTTCATTGTGTCCATCGAATATCGGAAATTCCCCCTCATGCCAACAGCTTGGTGGGTGACTGCGCTGGAAAAACCAGGGGCCCGACTTTTCTGGGGAAACCTGAGGGTACGGATACCGGCCGCTACTCCCCGGATCTCTTCCGAGGTGTTTTCTGACAACAATGTCAAGGCGAATCCAGCCGTGGCGACAAGGGTCTTCCAGGAGGCCCAGATAGGGAAAAACGATGGAAGGTTAGTGGCATCGGTACCCAGTCTTCTCATGATTTTCAGAAAGACAATCGGGCTTGGAGGATGGGGTTGGGAGACATGATCATGTCACCAGTACCGCCGCGCATGCTGAAGGTGCTTGTCGCACAGTCTTGCCCTGTATCTTCCCGACCCCCTCCCTGCCGACACGATACTTGTATAGAGTTCGGGATGGAGTTCGGTTCCCTAAGCGTTGGTGCTTGTCGCGCAGTCTTGCCCTGTATCTTCCGGACCCCTCAACGAATGTACGCTGTGCGTCAGTAGGGATACCATTCGCTCTTGAACAGCGCCGCACCACAACAAAAAAACATCTTCCCGACCCCCTCCCTCCCGACACGACACTCGTTGCTCTCAGGTTTTCATCCCGAGCGTCTTCCCGACGGCCCCCGGGGCCCAGCAGGGGCCCCACGAAGGCCGCAGGCGGCCAGAGGCCTCCCGTCGAGGCTCCTTGCCGCGGCGCGGGGAGGCCGAGGGGGAGCCGCGGCGGCGGGGCCGCCTCCGCCGCAGGATGCCCCGCCGGTCCCTGCGGCCCCGGGAGCAACGGCGGAGGCGGCAGCAACGGCGGAGGAGTGCCGTGGCCGCGTCGTCGTCGCCGTCGTCGCCGCTCCCGCAGCCGCCGCCGTCGTCGTCCTCCCGGGGCTCAGACTTCGCCTAGACTTGAGGGGTTCCAGTGTGCAGCTGGCGTCTTCCAGCGGCGTGTTGCTCGCACGATGACGGCATCATCCTACTCTGTGTGCAGTTCTCGACAATTCTTCTTCTTCTTCTCCTTCTTCTTCTCCTTGCTCTTCTCCTTCTTCTTCTTCTTCTTCTTCTTCTTCTCTCGCTTCTTCGTTAATCCGTCGCCTTTGGCCCATGTCGTGTCTAGGGCAAATATTCCTCGTCCGTCTCATCTTCATTATCCTGATCTTGCCGTCCCTGTTGGTTGATCTGCTCGCTCAATTCGCGATGCAGCCCGAGAAGCCAGTCAAGCTTGCTGCCAGGACTCGGGCTGACGCGGTGAAAGCAGCTAGGTCGCTCGCAAAGCTGGCGACCGAGTCCGCAGTAGAGGTAGTGATGTCCAAGAAGTCGTCCCCTCCAGAGGACGCTGGCCGCCCAGTCTGCGGGTTCGCCGAGGGCGAGGGGGCTGCTGCGGTCCAGCCCTCAAGCACTGCCTCGAGCGGTGCACTCGGTCGTGTGGCACACCGTGCTGGAGATCGGGTGCGGGTGTTCGTCGATGCGGTTGCAGAGTCTTCGAACAGAGCGGGAAACGCTCAGCGTCCCTCTGCTCGTCGCCAGGCGCAGGCCCCCGGTCCGCGTGTCCTCCTCCCCCTCCTCCTCCTCCTCCTCCTCCTCCTCCTCCTCCTCCTCGCCCTGTTCTCCCTATGCTCCTGCTCCTGCGCCTTCTCGTCGCCCCTCGCCATCGTCCTCATCTTCCTGATCCTGCTGCTCCTCTTCTTGGTGTTCGTCCTCCTCCTCCTTCTCCTCCTCCTCCTCCTCCTCTTTTTCCTCCTCCTCCGCCTACCCCTCCTGCGCGTCGCCCCCTTCTCCCCCGCCCCTAACTCCCCCTGCTGCCCCCCTTCCTCCTCCATCTCCTCCTCCTCCTCCTCCTCCTCCTTCTTCTCCTCTCGGTTGCCTTCCTCCTTCTCCTCCCACTCCCCTGACTCCCCCTGCTGCCCCCCTTCCTCCTCCATCTCCTCCTCCTCCTCCTCCTCCTTCCTCCTTCGCCTCCTGTTTCCCTTCCTCCTTTTCCTTCCCCTTCTCCTGCTTTTCCTCTGTTCTCCATCCCCTCGTCCCCCTCCTGCCCTCCTTTTCTCTTCTGCACCTCCTCCTCCTCCTCCTCCTCCTCCTCCTCCTCCTCCTCCTTGTCTTTCTCCTCGTCCTCCCTTCTCCTCCGCCTCTTCCCTTCTCCTCCCCTCTCCCCCTTCTCCTCCCCCCTTCCGCGTCTGGCCGCCCCGGGCAGCCTCTGGAGGCCCCCTGGCGGTCCTCAGAGGCCTCCGGCCGCAGAGGCTCCCGGCAGCCTCTGCGGAGGATGCCGAGGAGGGGCCGTCCAGGAACCTCGACCCTTGATCATCGATCCTCGAGCGACGCTTCCCTCCTTCCACCCCTTCCTCGCTCCCCCCCCTCCCCCTGCTCTCGATCCTCGAGTCTCCCTTCCCCCCTTCCCCCCCCCCCCTTGCCCCCGCCCCCCCTCCCTCGGGCCAGACCCCTCGGTCCTCGAGCATTTCCCGCTGCCGTCCCCCGCTCTCTCCCGCTCCCTGCCGCAGGATCGCCCACGAGCGTCGCCGGCGGCTGCTTCATGTGCGGCGGCATGCCGCCTGGCGCCATCCCGGTGCCCGCAGGAGCCACTGCTCCTCCTCCTGCACCCTCCTCCTCCACCTCCTCCACCTTCCTCCACCTCCTCCTTCCTCCTCCTCCTCCTCCTCCTCCTCCTCCTCCTCCTCCTCCTCCTCCTCCTCCTCCTCCCTCCCTCCTCCTCCTCCTCTCCCTCCTCCTCCTCCTCCTCCTCCTCCTCCTCCTCTCCCTCCTCCTCCTCCTCCTCCTCCTCCGCCTTCTCCTACGCCCCTCCTCCTGCGCCCTCCGCCTCCGTCTCTTCCTTCTCCTTCTCTTTTTCGACGTTGAGCGGACATACGTCGTACAGCTGTTGCGTCTGTGTAGCGGCAGAAAGCAAGACTCGGGTGGAGAGGCACTCGCAAAAAGACCCAGCGCGCAGCGGTGGGGAGATAGGCAAAGAGACCTCCTCTTCCTCCTCCTCCCTGCCCCCACGCATTGCCGGTCACAGGAGCCATCCCGAACCTTCCCGCCGGGATGCAGGCCATTCAGCTCCCCGCGGGGGCCATCCCGGCGGGAGCCATTCCAGCAGGGGCCATCCCGATGCCGATCCAAGGAGACGCCCCCCCCGCTCGCTGAGGAGGAGGAGGAGGAGGAGGAGGGGGAGGACGAGGAGAAGGAGGGGGAGGAGGAGGAGGAGGAGGAGGAGGAGGACGAAGTGGTGCAGCAGAAAGAGGAAGGGGGTCAAGGAGAACGATGATGACAATGATGACGATGATGCTGATGATGGTGGTGATGATTACGATGACGACGACGACGACGACGATGACGATGATGATGATGATGATGATGATGATGATGATGATGATGATGATGATGATGATGATGATGATGATGATGCTGATGATGATGATGATGATGATGATGATGGTGATGATGATGCTGATGATGATGATGATGATGATGATGATGATGATGATGTTGAGGATGAGGATGACGATGGTGATTATGGGGACGATTCTGATGACTGGTGCTGATGATGGTGGTGATGGTGGCGATAATGACGACGACTCAGACGAGGACGACAAACATGGAGGGAAGGGGGATGATGATGATGATGATGATGATGATGATGCTGCTGCTGCTGATGATGATGATGATGATGATGATGATGATGATGATGATGATGAGGAGGATGAGGAGGAGGAGGAGGAGGAGGAGGAGGAGGAGGAGGAGGAGGAGGGGGAGGAGGATTGGACGGATTATCAGTCTGCTCCCTGATCCCTCTGCCCGCTTTTATCCCCTGCCCTCTGTCTCACTCTCTCATTCCTGCCCTCGTCCTTCCTTTGCCCCCCTTCTGCCCTCCCTCCCCCTGCCCCCTATATACCCACTCCCTTTCAGCTCCTTTGTCCCTCGTCTGCCCTGTTCGCCCCCCTTCCCCTCTCCCCTCTGGTGCTGGCTCGAGTGGCTGCCGTGCGCAACTGTGCGTACGCGGCGTACGCCAGGAACCACTACTGTTCTTACCAAGCGGTGCGCCCATGGCGGCGGCCGCCGCCCACACGGCGACCATGCCATCTGCAACACCTGCCACATCCTCACTACGTCGTCTGCGCCTTCAGCGCGAGAAGGCGCTGCGCGCAGCTGTGGAGAGATGCTGCATCCGTGGTCTGGTTCAGGGTCTCCCGCTTCCACTCCTGCCCCCGCCGTTCCGTTGCTGGCACCAGTTTTACATGGACTGCACCCGGCTCGCTAGCCTACTGCACCGCTTGGGCTGCCGCGTGTCCACGACCTTTCGCCAGATGGTCTCGTTCAGCCCGTCCTTCCACCTCGACGTGTACCGTTTCAGCGTCTTCCCTAACTTCTCCAGCATCCTGTGCCACTGCCAGGCCTGTCGAGCCCCAGCAGCCTTGCGAGCTATCCGCACCACGTGCGCGTCAGGGTGACTTGTGGGCTTCATGTACTCTTTGCTGCTGCGCGTCTTCTGGGTGCGGCCCTCCACCCTGCTCGTGCTGGGCCTCCTGCACCTCGTGGGCCTCAGCTTCCTCGAGAGCACCCTGCCCAGACTAGTCCGGCTTTGGCGCCGGCGAGTCCTGTAGCGTGCTTCGGCGCACCCGTGATGCGACCTATGCCACGGCATGCCGTGAGCGGCTGCAGGGCTGCAGCCACAGCGCGTTGGATTCCCCAGCCAGCTGTGAGCGACCCACGCCGCAGCCAATTCCCGCACCCTGGGTTTTGGTCCGACGCCCCCTGGGCGCGAGGGGGAGGGGTCAAGCCAACGGGCCCGTCCCATCAACGGCCGCGAGGTGGGGGGTCAGACCAACGAAACCGTCCCAGCAACGGCCTGGTTGGCACCGTTGTTACCTGCGACGGGCTTTTCGATATCGGCATTTCCCCAACGGCTTGAGTGCCAAAGTCTACCCCGCAAGCCCTACTCCCGAGGCCACGCCACTTGGCTCCTTCGTTGTGCCTCTCTGCGCGGCTCCTGAGACGGAGGCTGCGCAGCCGAGCTGCCGCAAGGTTGGTGCTGTAGGCCAGCCGTGCTCCTCCCCTCGACTCCTGCTCGGACGAGTCCAGAGGCTCCGTGGCGGGCGAACCATTCGAGCAAACTGATCGCCGAACGGTGTCAGTACGCGCACGTGTCCAGAGCGGGGCGGGCGGATCAGCAGCATCCCTGCCGCGATGCTGGTTGCCAGAAATCTCACCCGGCCAGCCTTCCAGTTCTCCCCGGCCCTCCGCGGTGCGCGACCGAGTGCTCCCTCGGAGGGGCCACGCAGGATGCGGCCTGGCCTCCCTCCGCGCCCGCACGAGGTGCCACGCGGGTCTCCTGCCCCGTCAAGCTCCCTCCCGGAAGTGAGAGATTCGAAGACCGGCCCCGTCCTCATGGCCCCAGCCCCGTGTGCCGAGGGCACGCGGTCACTCTGCCCGCCAAGCGCGGCGTTCCCTCCCGCTGCCGGCCTCTGGGGATTCCCACCCCAATGCTGGGCCCTGGGGCTTCCAGCTTGTCACGTAGTTATTCGCAATCCTGTGTTGTTGTGCTCTGTCACCTTCTCACCTTCCGCCAGCCGCACCGGGGCGCCGGTGGTGCAACTCTGATTCGGGGCCTTTGAGGCGGTCCGACCGCCCGGCGCGCCGTCACCATTCTGTCCCTTACCTCAGCTGTCTGCCAGCAATTCGTATCTACTGGTCTCGAGACGAGCAAGATAGTAGACACTGCTCGTTCTCCTCGACCTGTTGGCCACATGCCGCTCCTAGGCGAGCACCGTGCCACCCGAAGAGCTTGTGTAGACCAAGGAACCCGCCCCTCGTCTTCTTGCGAAGGTTGGTGGCATCAGCTGCAATGGTTAGCCAGGCCCTGAGTGCCTTGGCAACCAGGGCTCGTTCCGATTTCTTCTTGCCCACTCCCCCTCCCTCTCTTCCCCTCCCCTCCCCTCCCCTCCCTTCCCCTTCCCTCCCTTCTTTCCTAGTTCCTCCTGCCTCCCTTCTCCCTTTTCTTCCTCCTCGATGTCCCTTGTAGACTACGAGAACGATGGTCGTTTGCATCCAAAAGCTACGACGTCTACGCAGGAACGGTCCCAAGGAGTGTGTCAAACAGCACTTGGTTTTGTCGACCGAAATGCTAGCAGTGCGTGCCGCCTCGCCTAAGCCCCGCAGACATTGCCAGACCACTGTGGCCTCCTGGCTTCCACCCACCTGGCCCCCAGCTGACCGTAGACACGCTAACGGCGATGTAGGCATCGGCGATGTAGGTTTCGGTATTGTAGGTGGGGGTGGTTCGTGGCCAGCCCGATTGTAGGAAATAAAGCGTTGCTCGTGTGTTGCTATCACATGTCCTGTGCGAATTCGGCGTCGCCAAAATCAGATTCCCAACATCGCCGTTAACCAACATCAACGTTAGCGTGGCCTTGAACTGACATCCCGCCACCCCACGACATCGAACAGCCCAGGGCTCATGGGAATCGCGGGCAGGCGCCGCAGGCCCAGGGACTCCATGACTGGCGAGGGCAGCCTCGCGGGCCAAGGGCGCGCTCCCGGCCCCGCATCTGAGACGGCCCCAAGGACCCATCCTGTTCATGGCATGCCCGTTGCGTGCCTATCTAGGCCCAGGGGGCCCCTTTCGGGCCATCACGGACCCACGCTGTTTCCCCAAGTCCTACGTCAGCGCGCCCGAGCGCCATAAGGCTGGACGCCCTCTTGCCCAGCTGCCGGAGCCCGCCCCTCAGCACGCCCCGCGACGGCCAGGCCTTCTCAGCCCGAGGTCGATGCCCGAGCTGCGGGCCGACTTGTGGAGCGTGAGCTGCTCCCCGTAACTGCAGCACCGTGTGCTGGCGTGCATTGTCGCCGCCAGCGCCGATGATTCCCTTGGTGAGTGGGATGGATCTTGAATCTGCTACCGCTATCGGGCCCCACCCCTGCGGATCCAATCGGCGCTGTGTTACTGGACCCTCGCTGGGGTTCACTTGGCTGCAGACATCCTTTAAACTCTGAGCCCCAGCCGGTTTTTCGGAAATCTGACCTGCAGGGGTAGGATTCACATGTGGGCCGCGGGCGCACGCTTTCCCTCCTCCCCCTCCTTCGTCCTCTGCCTTCTTTGTTCTCCTTCTCCGCGTCTTGGCTAAGCCATCTCGGCTCGCCTCGCATCGGTTCGAGTGCTGGGTGGCGAGGGCAGAGGGCAAACCATACCTCCAACGCCACCCTAGTACTTTTTGTTGTTGTACGGGGCTCCTGGGTGGCGAAATTAGGCAGAGGGTGAAAGAGACCTCGAGCGCCACCCCAGAAAGCAGCCACAAACCTCAGGGAGGAGTCGCCGCCCTCCCTGTTGTTACGTCTGGCAGGTGCGTGGATGTTAAACAAACAACTCCTCCCCCCTGTCAGCACTCGCCCACGGTTGGCCGAACCGCGCCCAGAGAAGGCGGTGATGCTGCTCTTCGTCGCCGCCGCGCTTGCACTTCTGTCGCCTGGCCAAGATTTCGAGGCCTGCAGTCAGGACTCTTAAATAAGGACCACTCCAGGCTCAAGGGGGGACCTTGGTTTTCAGGCCGTTCCCCCCATATATATACACATATATATATGTATACATTGTTCATTTCTAATTCTTCGGATATTCTTTTTTGGGGGGGGCCAAGATCCTTTCGTTTCTAATTCTTCCTGGCCGCTAGGGGGCCAGGAACAGTTAGAAACGAGCACAATTAGGAATTCGCACGATTAGAAATGAACGACGTGTAGATGTCGGTGGAGCTCCTCGTGGCCGAGGCTGGCCGCGGCCAGAAAAAGCCCCCTCCTTCCTTGCTCTGCGCTCCCTGTGCTCGCACGCCGGCTGTATGGGCCCCTGGTCGCCGTCTGGCCCTTGGAGTCAAGCGAGGAGAGACCACCCAGAACCCCACAATTCCCCAGTCAGAGCTTGCCTCTGTGGGGGTCCTAGCGGATTCACATGCGTAGGTGACCTACGTCGCCGACATCGGTGGCCGGGCCCGGGTGCCCGGGTGCCCAGGGGTGCCCGGGTGCCCGGGGGTGCCCCGAGGTGCCCGGGGGTGCCCGGAGATGCCCGGGGTTGCCCGGGTGCCCGGGTGCCCGGGTGCTCTATCGCCTTAGAACCCTTTAGCCCAATAGCCCATATAGCCAAATAGCCCATCTAGCCCTACCTATACGACCACCCTTCGGGTGATAAGGAGGTTGTCGGGGGGGGGAGAGGGGGGGAACCAACATCTGACTCAATCGATCTCACTATCGATCCCACTCAACGGGACACCACGGGACACCACGGGACACTTGTCGATCTCACTATCGATCTCACTATCGATCTGACTCAAAGGGACACCACGGGACATCACGGGCCACCACTGGACACCAAGGGACACCGCGGGACACCTCTCGATCGCACTATCGGTCTCACTATCGATCTCACTCCACGGGACACCACGGGACACCACGGGACACCTCGGGACACCACATCGATCCCACTATCGATCTCACACAGCGGGACACCACGGGACACTGAGGGACACCTCGGTGCACCACATCGATCTCACTATCGGTCTCATTATCGATCTCACTATCGATCTCACTCAACGGGACACCACGGGACTCCACGGAACACCTGTCGATCTCGCTGTCGATCTCACTATCGGTCTCACCCAACGGGACACCACGGGACACCACGGGTCACCACGGGGCACCACGGGACACCTCTCGATCTCACCATCGGTCTCATTATCGATCTCACTATCGATCTCACTCAATGGGTCACCTTAGGACACCACGGGGCACCGAGGGACACCTGTCGATCTAACCATCGATGTCACTATCGATCTCACTCAACGGGACACCATGGGACACCACGGGACACTTGTCGATCTCACTATCGATCTCACTATCGATCTCACTTTTGGGGACACCACGGGACACCTCGGGGCACCACATCGATCTCACTATTGGTCTCACTATCGATCTCACTCAACGGGACACCATAGGACACCACGGGACACCACGGGACACCTGTCGATCTCATTATCGATCTCACTATCGATCGCACTTTTTGGGACACCACGGGACACCACAGGACACCTCGGGGCACCACATCGATCTCAATATCGATACCGGGACGCCCGGGACACCAGGGACACCCGGGACACCGCCAGGCTCAACCGGCCACCGGCGGACGGGAAAGGACGCCCGGGACACCCGGGACACCCGGGACCTCAGGGACACCGCCCGGCCCAACCAGCCACCGGTTGCTGGGCGCACGGACTTTCGCTCCTACTTCGGCCTAGCTACAGGAGGATCACGCGCAGCTTCGCATCGCCCGCACGCACGACACGAACACGAAACCGAAACCGATTTCCCGGTGGGGGCTCTCCGTTTCACTGCGATCTCACCTCCCAACCTCCGATATCCCTATAGCCTTATAGCCCTGGTAGCCCTATAGCCCTACAGCCCTATAGCCCTATAGCCTTATAGCCCTATAGCCCTATAGCCCTATAACCCTATTGCCCTATTGCCCTACATCCCTATGGCCCTACAGCCCTATAGCCCTATAACCTTACAGCCCTATAACCCTATAGCCTTATAGCCCTAAGTAATTTCAGATTGCTTTTTTATCCGGCATCATTGGCGTTTTCTGAACAGCCTTGGGCGTTTATTGAACAGCTCTGCCCTCTTGAATTCTCTCCCTGGGCGCGTTTACTAAACGGCTTCGCTTGTCGGGGCGTTTATGATGATTATGGTGTTTTTCCTTGCTTTCTGTCGAGGAGAGCCAGAGGGGCGTGGCGTATACACCGCTGCTGGGTTTAGAAAGGGCATGGCCAGGGAGCAGTGGATCTGAATAAATTTCGTCTCCCTACGTCTGGCCCCATCGAGGAGGGCACCTTGGCACCCTCACCGGCGCTTCCACCCCCCAGTGCAGCAAGAGAGCCCTCTGGCGCCGAGGCCGCCGGCGCCCGGGGGCCGCTCGAGGGAGGGCAGCGCCGCGCCGTCGGCGCCTGCCGCCATGCTCCCCCTGGCTGGAGCTCACAGCAAGCAGCAAGCTGGCTCTCAGACGACTCCAAGGCGTTCCCAGCATGCGCTCGAGACCGCCAAGGTTGTTCAGGAGAGCCCATTACGGCTCAAGAAGCGCCCAAGAGGCCCTTAAGACGGCCCAAGAGGCCTCCAAGAGGTCCTCCACCCGCCCTCTCCACGAGGGGCAGCTCGGGGGTTGCTAGAGGTGCCCCTGGCCCAAGATGCCCCCAGTTTTTCGCGAAACTCTGGAGCCCCTGGGGCCCTTCTGGGACCCGTGAGAGGCGCTTTTGAGGCCGTGGGGGCCTCCTTGGAGATCCTGGTGGCACCTTGGGCCAGGGTCCCTTCTAGCAACGCCCGAGGCAGCGGGCACGGTGGCGGTGAGTCCGCGTCCCCAAAGAGGTTGGACGGTCGTCGCCGCGAGGGAGGTCGACTCCGCGCAGTTGGCGCCCACCGCCGCTTCTCCCTCAGCTCACTCGCCCCCCTCCACGAGGGGTAGTGGCAACGGCGGCGGTGAGCCGTCGCCCCCCCAATGGAAGAAGAAGAAGAAGAAGAAGAAGAAGAAGAGGCGACATGACCATCAACTTGCGGAGCTCCGCCCGCAAGGGGGCAAGCGCTTCCCGGCCCCGCGGCACCCAGGTACGGCCTCGAAGACGTGGACGAGCTGCCGCCGTCCGACCTCTCGGGGCAGAGGAAGAAAAGCGTGCACACGCATGCACTTTCGGAGCTTCGCTCGGATCCCTTGGATCGCCGCTGCACCTCTTTGGCGGCTCCTCCGGCGTCGCCCCTGGCACGCGGAGCGCGCCAGGGAGGGCTGCCCAGCGCAGATCCAAGAGATCCGCGCGGAGCTCCCACAGTTCGTGCTACTGCAGCGTGTTCCCGCCCACCTTTTCGAGGCCGTGCCCTCGGTGCCGCGGGGCCGGACCCCGCTTGCGCGCCTGTCTCGGCCCGATGTGTCCCTCTCGCTCTCCATCCACCGCTCCCTCGTCCCTCGTCCCTCGTCCCTCGTCCTTCGTCCCCCATCTCAGCTCGCCTCCCTCCTGCCTCGATCCTTATCCCCCTCCCTCATCTCTTCTCCCTCTCCCTCTCCCTCCCTCCCTCTCTCTCTCTCTCTCTTTCTTTTTGTTCTCTCTCTCTCTCTCTCTCCATGCTTCTACGTCTTCTTCTTCTTCTTCCTCCCTGCATTTGGGAGAGGATAGGAGGGGAGGAGGGCAACGTGGGATAGGGAGGAAGAAGGAGGAAGAAGGCGATCGGACGGGAGGGGGTGTGCTTTCGGGGCAGGGAGCACTCGTGTCCAGGAGGGTGCGCAGCGACGGGAGGAGCAGGAGGAGAAGGAGGAGGAAGCATGTGCGGCACGGCCCTCAGGCATGCAAGGCATGCAGGGCATGAACCTGCCCCCGGGTGCCGTCATCATGGGGGGCCAGGGCCAGGGCGGCCAGTTCACCATGATACCCGTGCCCATGACCATGGCACCGCAAGACGGCGCGGGCGGCTGCGACGGCCAAGGAGGTGCTTGGATTGGCAGCAGCGGGGCATACATTCGGGTGTTGCAGTAATATGCAGAGCAGGTGTGCCCTCCCCTTCCTGCCAGGAACAGAGGCGAGTGCGAGGAGGGCCGAGGATGAGAATGATAAGGGCGATGATGGTGGTGATGATGCTACTGCTGATGATGCTGCTGTTAATGATGACGATGATGATGAGGACGATTGCGATGATGATGACGACGATGATGATGACAATGATGGTGATGCTGATTATGAGTATGATTATGCAAATGTGGATGGTAAGTTATGCGAATGGTGGTGATGTTGTTGATCATGGCGATGCTGATGCTGATGGCAACGATGATGACGATGACAATAATGATGACGATGACGAAGATGATGCTGATGCTGCTGATGATGCTGATTATTATAATGATGATGCTGATGCTGCTGCTGATGATGATGATGATGATGATGATACTGATGCGAATTGTGATGTTGATACTGATGATGTTGTTGATGATGATGATGACGGTAGTGGTGATGATGACGATGATGATGCTGTTGATGATGATGACGATGATCATGATGATGAATGAAAGAGTGAGTAAGTAAGTGAATGCATGGTGAGGGTGATGGATGGTGATGATGATGCTGCTGCTGATGATGATGAAAAGGAGGAGGATGAGGAAGAGGAGTGACGACGACGATTATGTTGTTGATGCTGATGATGATGATGCTGATAATGTTGTTGATGACGATGGTGATGATGATAACGATGGCTGATGAGAAAATGATGATGATGATGATGATGATGATGATGATGATGATGATGATGATGATGATGATGATGATGATGATGATGATGATGATGGTGATGGCCAGGGTGATGATGATGATGATGATGATGATGATGATGATGATGATGATGATGATGACGATGATGATGATGATGATGATGATGATGATGATGATGCTGATGCTGCCGCTGCTGATGATGATGATGATGATGATGATGATGAGGAGGAGGAGGAGGAGGAGGAGGAGGCTGGAGGGGAGGAGGAGGAGGAGGAGGAGGAGGAGGAGGAGGAGGAGGCGGTGGAGAAGGAGGAGGAGGAGGAGGAGGAGGGTGAGGACGAGGACGCGGAGGCGGGGGAGGGAGGCAGACAATAAAGGGGCGAGGGAAGGGGATGAGGACGAGGAAGAGGAGACAGGGAGGAGGAGGTGAAAGCGGAGGCGGAGGATGAGGAGGTCTGAACTGCTGATCGTGATGCTCGGCTCCTGGCGTCCTGCGTGCTTCCGGGTTCATCGACCAGAGCATCGGCTGTGGCGTCTCTTTATGCCTGTTGGCTGGCCTTGCAGTCCGGCCCCTTTCTTCTTCTGCCTCTCGCCTCTTCTCTCGGGCCTGCCTCTGCGGAGGCAGGCCACCGTCCTAGTCCCAGTCCCCAGCCGTTCCCTCCCCCTTGGCCCTCCTCCTCCTCCTCCTGCCTTCCTGACCCTCAGCGCCGCCTCCAGGAGGGGAAGGGAGCAGGAGAGAGGCAGAAGGGAGCAGAAGCTCGTGGAGCCCCGGCCGAGCCCGAGCAGGCAGGCAGGAGGACGAGGGCGAGGGGCCTCCTCCCTGCCGCCCCGGCCCCGCCCCCCCCGCCGCCGCCGGGGAGGCTGCGAGGGCGGCTGCGCTGGCATGGCTCAGGGGCCGTGTGGCGGCCCTGGGAGCTGCAAGGGCGGCAACGGCGGGGGCGGCGGCTGCTGCGCGGACCCTGGCGCCCCGCCGCCTGCCTCTGCGCTCGGCTCTCGGCGGGGTCACGCGGTCTGCCGTCCGATCGGTCCTCTTGCGGCACTCCGAGGAGGCGAAGACGAGGATGCCGGCGCTCATCCTGCAGAGCCCCCGTCGCCACGGCTGGATTCTCCTCGGGGTTCTGGTCGGAGCGCACCCTCGGACCCTGGGAGAGGTCTGGTGAGCATAGCGGTGTCGGTGTCTTTTTTGCTTCCCCATGCACGGCCTGGAGAACTGCAGTCGCGCCGGTCATTCAGAACTCTCCCCTCGCCTTGGTCCCGCCCTTATTGGCAGCTTCCGGTAAGCTGGCCCGGATTCTTCTACCCTCTGCGCACGCTCGGGGCTGAGCGAGGGGGGCTGGCCCAGCGTTTGCGCGACATATCGCCCGCAAGCGGCATCGGCGATCTCTTTCTGACTCATAGCCGCTGCGCTTTGCGCTGCGCTCTTGGCAGCGTCGCCGTTTGCCATCCAGTTCATCATTCTGTGCACGGCCTGGAGAGCTATGTCGAAGGGTGGCCTTCGTCACTGGCCCTGGGTCCCGTGAGCGCCCCGTTCAATTATGACTTGAGGGAGTGGCATGCGTATGCGAGCGCACGGGGATCCAGCTGAGCGACATGCGTATCATTGTATTGTCTTCCTGCAGATGGCTGGAGCTCCTGCTATCGCTCCCCCAGGGGTCACGGCCAGGTCACTCGACGGAGTCTGTCGGCCTCGTCTTTCGAGCAGGACCGATCTGTGAGAGGGTCCTGGTGTCCAGAAACGTGGCAACAAGCGTCGTCGTGCTTTGTTTTCACGGCGACCAGATCTGATGGTCCTGTTCCTGCTCCTGCTCCTGCTACTCCTGCTCCTGCTACTCCTGCTCCCTGTGATGGTGGCGTTGGATGGTGATCAGTGTGCACCCTCACCAGCGGTCACAACCCTTAACATGATAAACGACTGCGAGCTGAGAGGGGGAATGAGGAAGGGACGGGGAGGAGGAGGAGGAGGAGGAGGAGGAGGAGGAGGAGGAGGAGGAGGAAGAGGAGGAGGAGGAGGAGGAGGAGGAGGAGGAGGAGGAGGAGGAGGAGGAGAGGGGGAGGAGGAGGGGGAGGAGGAGGAGGAGGAGGAGGAGGAGGAGGAGGAGGAGGAGGAGGAGGAGGAGGAGGGAAGACGGGAAGGGCGATCTTTACTCTTCCCTCTTCCCTTCCCTACTCCTGCTCTCCAATAAGGCCCTGAATCGTTCTCCTCGTCCCCCGTCCCTTCCCATTCCTCCTTTCCTCCTGACTTGTTCTCTCCTCCTCCCCTCGCTTTCCTTTCCTCCTTCTTTCCTCCTCTCCTTCTTTCCTCCTCCCCTTCTTTCCTCCCCTCGCTTTCCTTTCCTCCTTGTTTTCTCTTCTCTCCTCCTTTCCTCCTCTTCTCTCCCGTTCTCCCAGAAGGCGCGATGGGAGGGGAGAGAACCAGCCATCATTGCTCGACGCTTCACGCGTCTCCACCAGTCCATCCAGACACGACGCCCAGGCATTTTTTTGCATGGCAAGGGGAAGTGTGTGAGCATTATGCACCATTTCGCGGAGCGTATGGGTTGGGCCTGAGCATGCCGTCGAGGAAGCAGGAGGAGGAGGAGCAGGACACGGAAGAGAAAGTGTAGGTAGGAAGGGATGAGGGAGGGTGATAAGAGAGGTGGATGATGATGAGGAGGCGGAGGAGAAGGCGGAGGAGGAGGAGGAGGAGGAGGAGGAGGAGGAGGAGGAGGAGGAGGATCGGCTCGGATCGGAAGTCCGCGCAAGGGCTTCACCAGGAAGCCACAGCTGGGGGCGTGCAGCACCATTCGAGCTACCGCAGGTCTAGGAGGCGGCGGCGGAGGAGGAGGAGGAGGGGGAGGAGGAAAGGCAATATTAGGAGACGGAGGATGGAGGAGGAGTGGGGCGGCGACGACGGCATTGACGAGCACAAGGAGGATGACAAGGAGGACGACCACGGCAGGCGTCAACCATGTCCTTCGCGCATCTGTCGCTCCGAGAGCCGCTTGTAAGCCTGTTGGAGATCGAGGAAGGCCCCCCCATTAACCTTGGGCCTCTGGAGCTCGAGTAGTCGCTTCTTCGAGCCCTCTTATGACGCTTTTGGGCCTCTCTTGGGCGCTCTTGTGGCCATCTCGGAGCTCTTTATGGGCCCCTCTGGGGACTCTTGGGCGAGATGGGAGCCATCTCGAGGCAATGCCCGTCGACTGCGAAGAGGCGATGCAGCATACATCATCTGGCTTCTTCCAGAAATTCACGGATTTTGGCCTCGGAGGCGTCCCTGGGAGGCTCCGCAGCCAGTTGGACCCGTCTTGTTGCGGTCTTGGGGCCACGTGGAGGCATGCCGAAGGACGTCTTCGGCTATTCTCAGTCATCCTGCGTCATCTCAGAGATCGTCCTGGGCCATCTGGGGCAATCTTGGAGCCCTCTTGGGCCATTTTGGACGCTCTGATCGCTCGCGCCCCTCCCCGTCCAGACCCATGAGGTGGGTGGGGGGAAGGGTCAAGCTATCCGAAAGAGCGTGTTCTACCGCTGCTGGCGGAAAACCGGGGGGGGTCACTACCGGTTCGAACCCCTCCCCCCCCCCCCCCTCCGGAAAACCGGGGGGTCACTACCGGTTCGAACCCCTCCCCCCCCCCCCCCCCTGCTCATCATGAAAAGGGGGGGGGGTCACTACCGGTTCGAACCCCTCCCCCCCCCCCCTCCGGATCCGGAAAACCGGGGGGGGTCACTACCGGTTCGAACCCCCCCCCCTCGAAAACCGAGTGGGGGTGCGGACAGTGGTGGGGACGGTGTTGGTGGGGACAGTGGTGAGGGGATAGCGGGACAGTGGTGGGGACAGTGGGACAGTGGGACAGTGGTGGGGACGGTAGTGGTGGGGACAGTGGTGGGGACAATGGTGGGAACAGGGGGGGACAGTGGACAGTGGTGGTGACGGTGGTGGTGGGGACAGTGGTGTGGGGACAATGGGAATGAGGTGGAAACAGTGGGACAGTGGAGGGTACAATGGTGGTGGGGACAGTGGTGAAGGCGGTGGCGAGGACGGCGGTGGGACAATGGGACAGAGGTACAGTGGGGACAGTGGTGGGGACAGTGGGGACAGTGGTGGGAACAGTGGGACAGCTCAGTGGGACAGCGGAGGAGTCAGTGGGACAGTGGGGACAGTGGGGATAGTCGGGCAGTGGTTGGGGCCGTGGAGACAGTGGGGAGAGTGGAACCGTGGTGGGAACAGTTCTGGGGACAGCGGGGACAGTGCGACAGTGGTGGGGCCACTGGTGGGGACAGTAGGGGCGGTGGTGGAACCAGTGGGGACAGCGGTGGTGAGGACAGTGGTGCTGGGAACACCAGTGGGGGATGTGATGCGGACGGTGGTGGGGACCGGGAGTCGTTTGCTGGCGGTGAGTAGGGGGGGGGGGGGGGGGGAAGGGGGGGGCGAACCGGTGTTTTCCGGATCCGGAGGGGGGGGCGGGGGGAGGGGTTCGAACCGGTAGTGACCCCCCCCGGTTTTCGAGCGGAGGGGGGGGGGAGGGGTTAGGGGGGGGGGGGGGTTTTGCCGGGGGAGGGGGGGGGGGGGGGGGGGGGAGGGGTTCCAGCAGGGGTGGGGGGGGATTTTCGGAGGGGGGGGGGGGGCGACCCCCGGGTTCCGGAGGAAAAGGTTGGCAATTTTCCACAGTAAAGCGGCGGTGGATCACGCTCTCTCAGCTATCCCAAGCCACAAGCCGTGTCGCTCACTCCCACCCGTCTTCCCAGGATATCAGTAGTACCCAAGTCTCAGTACATGCAGGGGCCGTCGCCAACAACCATCAGGAACCAATGCAGACGCCAGCCAGGAGCGCGATGCCCGCGAGGTGCGCCGCACGCGCCAGGTGCGCCGCGCGCACCAGGTGCGCCACATTTGGGCACTATGTCGACCGCGCCACCTTGGCTGTGCTGGCGTGCGCCCGCAGGTACTGCCCACTTCTGTTTGGCAGGGATCGTAGGCCTGCGCACGGCAGGCAATATGCCGCCCCCGGCCGCCCCTTGGTGCAAAGGGCACGGCCTTTTGTTTTCTCTGCACGGGGCTTGTAGGGGTGTTGGCATTGCACGCAGCAGGCAATACGGTGGAGGCGTTTGTTAAGGAATAGTCCCAGCAGGCGCCAGACCCTGGAGGATTCCTTAACCCAATAAGGGCGGCGGTGATATCCATGGCCGATCCACGATTGGAGTTCCACTGGCTTCCAGACCCTGGATTCCTTACCTAAGGATTCCTTACCCAATGCCCACACTGTATGCCAGTCCCCCGCTGTCCCTGCCAAAAGCAAGGGCGCACGATCCAGATTTTGGTGTTAAGTGTATTGCAACTTTTCCCAAGCGATGGGGGGCGGGTGCTGGCAGTGCGCAGAGCAGGCATTATGCCGGTACCCCCGCCGTCCTTGTCAAAACCAATGCGAAATGATCGCGGGGAGTCCGCGCATGATTCCCCAAACAGTTCTTGCACTTCGGGGCTGTTATTTTTCTTTTAAAGAACTGGGCCGTGTCTTTGGTCTGACGGCCTTGTGGCCGCCGTCGCGGCACCGCAAGGATTTCAACATCGAGTGCTCTGAGAACTTCAAAAACACCAATGGTTTCGCAACGAGGCTTTTCCAAAAAGCCTGCGCTCGCGCCTTTGCGAATTCTTAAGACAACCATCAACACTTACATCAACTGTAACCAATTGGGCCTCTCGCGCGCATGTCGAAAGCATTCGTGCGCCCTTGCGCACGTGTTGGGGGGGCCAACCCCTGTCGAGTCATGCAATGCGGGCCACTCGCGCGCGTCGGCCGCGCGTGTCGACATGTTTCCAAGCCTTCACCGTAGAAGCTAGGACGCCTTCGTCGTCTTCGGCGTGATCAGCAGTTGCGCCGTCGTGTGCCTTGAGGTCGTTATTGTCATCGTCGTCACTGGCATCGCTGCAATCATCATCTTTTCTACCGTCGTCGACGTCGCTATGATACCGCGCATGCCCGAGTCA